CGGGGGGGGGGGGGGGGGGGGGGGGGGGGGGGGGGGGGAAAGGTATGGGATTCGGCAGGTTGAAACTGCGACTCTGGCCCGGCTTCTTTCTAGTGTTTCCACTTGGCTGCCAGAGGGCGAAAACGAGCTTCACAGGCCAGAGGGGGGGAAAAACGCAATAGCAAGAGATCCTCAGAAGCGGTAAAAGCTAGCGACTTCGTTCCGTTCGAGTACTGAACACGTCCTATCTGCACTGCTTGCACACAGATAAACTTATATTTACCAAGGTTGATTTGTTTTTATGTAATCTGCTGGTGCACACAATCGGTCTACCAGTGGTCTACCGCCAACGTTCTGATCGGACCAAGCGATGCCTTTCAATTCAGTGAAGGATACAATCGAACTGGAGGCATAATTATAGGGGGAAAGAAGTCAGGAAGGAACAATTCTCCTGTAGTAAAGGGCAATCATGCCCTCCTCGTAACCCTGATACGCCAGGCTGGAGTCTCCCGCATACAATGAGGTGAGAGAAGAAAAGGAGGACGGGTCATTCCCTGATCCCATCCGAACGGTGAAGCAACAGCGAAGGGAGAAATGCTGACACCAAGTACCGCAGATTGCAAATGACGAGGGAAAACCTGCAGCCAGCCTACTCATGCAAGGCATCAAGAGGTGAAATACACTTTCTCTTCTGCCTTCCTTCTATAGCGGAAGTCTCCACTTCGTGACCCCTTTGATCTATTCTCTCCGCCTTTGATGCATGGGGAGTATCATTCAATCGTCACGGCCTTCGAGACTTTCCTTCTCTCTTTCTTAGCGCCTTCCTAATAGCTGCATGGCGTCCAGCACTGTCTTCGGCTTCTGTGCAAGGCAAGCCAAGGTCAACATACTCCAGTGACAGTTTAAGAATAGGGAGGTGGAAGAGACGGGCGGATTTTTTTCCCCCCTCCTCCATATACAGCATTCTAAAGGCCTTCCTTTCGATTGCTATCTGCATGAGGGCGTTACTCACGCCGATGATGGATAGCCAGCATGGACCTTACCTGACAAGAGAACTGAATGCACGCCGACCACAATGGCTTGACACTGTCCTCCAATTTCACATTGCACTACGAAGTACACAATCCCTGATATGTGACACGACTAGGGAAGCAATATCTTTTTGTGGGGTAAAATCCACTTGAAATGGGCTATCTATAAATAAAAAAACCAGCTAAGATAAGATTCACACTCCTGGTGGAATGATGCGATATACGGGTTGGTTGGAAGAAGGCGAGGCCGACATGATAGAAGGCGTGAAACCACGTACACGGGTTGACCCGTTTCAGATCAGTCGAGCACAGTGGAAATGCCTCATGATCCACGAAAACATCCACCTTCCTCGGCCTGATGCGGATTCATACGATGCGGATCCCAGTGACGTTTCTGTATTTCACAGACAACATTACGAGACTAGAACATTGTTGAATATGATAGAATGTTGTAGTAAACCTGTAATCGGTTTATAAAAACATTCTAACAGCGATTTTAAATTTGATTGCAAGAAATACGACTCAACATGACAAAGGCTTCAGTCTTGTATGTATGCAATACGACATCGCGTGGTGTAATGCCCCGAAGGGAAAAAAAAGTAGTCAAACCAGACTGTAAACACCAACAGCTATTGTGGTTGGCGTTAAGATTGGTGTTGCTGGTGATGCAACGGTGTAAGGCGACATGGTCATTCGTCAGGCAAAATCGTTTTCAAGAAACCCTCAGCTTGATTGAATGTGGACAGAAAACCTGCATAAGTGCTACCTATACCTCGTCTTTTGAGGTACTGAAAGGAATGCCTATCGAGATACAGACACTGATTAGCATAGATCAAGTAGAAATGACGTATCGGACTAGCCTTCATGAAGGCCTTGTTGAGTTGACCCTGATGAATAGACGAAGGAGGAAACAAATAGCAAAATGGTTTCCTCCTCTGCATGGAGGAAAACATTTTATTGGCCTAAAGTAGCTGCTTAGAATATGCTAAATATTGTCCTTGGACGGGAAAGTAAATCTGTTCGCCATGTCGGGATATACGGTGCCTCTCTTGGATGGCGTCTGGAAATGTCTACGAGGTGAAGCTTGGATAGCTTGGAATGTGACATTTATTTTCCATGATGCTTCACGAATTTGGCACATTCAGACACGGTGTTATCAGCCCAGATGGCAGCTTGGAATCCCGGTAATGCTATCGTGCTTAGCACCTTATATAGGGAGGGAAAGGGAGAAGGGGACGACGCTCTGGACGTTTCCGCCATGGTCGCGCAAGCCAACAGTTGCTCATGAATATCTCGCACATCCTGTCATTTAAAAAAAAGACCGTGTGGTTCCGAAGAGTGACCGTCTTCATCAAAGTGCCTCATTATATCTCATAGAAAGTAAGCTATTTTCCCAAGGAGGGGGTGTGGTGTTACGATACCGTTACAAAGGGGAGTCAGACGTCACGAAGTTTGGCCAACGGAACATAGCGGTAAGCAACGAAACACGAGGCATACGCTCAATTTTCACGTGAGTCGGTCATTTTCGTACCGTCATAGAAGTCATAGTCATAGATGACATACTTCCCTGGACAACGATCATTTCGCGTTAATAAGACGACGAGTATGAGATGTGAAGTACATGGGCACATTTGAAACACTCATGACACTTCGGATTACTTGATTAGGAAATATACACAACACTGTTGAAAGTGGTCCACGTGTTCTCCTCACCTTTGGAGTGCACTCATGGGAGAAAGGTGCATCAGAATGACCTCCAGCCGTGATAGATGGGAGTCCTGGAGCCGACTGATCTGAAATCTGAACAGACTAGATCTTGAGCCTACCATGGAGAGATAGGCGGCTGTCCCCCTTTAGAAGGAAGTATTGCACACGGGAACGGCGAGGGAGAGAGCGAGAGCGATGAACGAACGGATCAGCGTCCTTCACAACCACGACTGGCTGGCTCTGAGGGGCAGGAGATCGCTGCTGGGCTTCGTGGGCTAAATCTTCGGTCCAGCATGCGCCCAGTGTTGCTCGCTTCCTCTCTCCCATCCCTTTCACGTCCCCGTTCTACAGCCGCTTCTCAACGGATTTCCGAATCCGATTTGCCTCCCTCTCGATTCGTTTGCAAGTTCCTGTTGTCTTTGTCAGCATCCCCCTCACACAGAATGAGGAGGATTAGAGAATAGAAAAGAAGCCATGCGGCATCTGTGCGGGTTGCGCGACCGTTAGCCAGCTGCTCTTTTGTCACGTAGAGGCCCCAGGCTAAGAGACAACCTAACCCAGCACGTCTTCCCTCCTCTTTTGCTAATAGGCCAAAGGATTCTTACATGATCGCAGCAGGGCACGATGCCGTGGCTATTTTTCGACGATAATGAGGCCTCTCCCGAAAATTCCTCTGGGAAATTTCGCAGGGAGGCAGCCCATCTATGCTGGGAAATTACCCGCGTAATGGTGTTTCGCAAGATAGCCTCCAAGCCACAAGAAAAGGGACTGCATGGGAAGTCTGACGGTCTATAGTCGGAAATAACCGTCTCGCAGAGACGATCCAATCGGACGGAAGTTGAAAACAACCGATGAAAGGCCCAGGGGGAAGAGCCACATTCCATTCGATGCATTGATTATGCAAAGACGTGTGAACTTTGCATGAGAGAATGGAGTTCCCGGATTCTTAGTCAATGGTCAGAGCCTTTGCTTACCTTCCACTCGAAAGCCCATGTCTGAGACCGAGGTCGTGGAATATCGAGGGAGAGGGAAGGCAAGAGAGGCTTCTCCTTTATTTGCCGGAACTTGGACGCCCGCCTCACCCACATGCTTTCAGCGATCAATAGGCATGCTCCAGCGGATTCTCTTTGCTAACGCTGACCCCGATGCTCCGTTCACAACTGACCGGGGATTTCCTCGTCGAACCGCATTCTACTTGCCATCACTGCGTTCAAGGCTCATCCATCCAACTCGGAGCAACGGAATCGAGGACGGGTCAATTCAGTCGACCAAGGAATGTCTCGAGAGAGAATAGATTCTCTTCCCATAGAACTCACCAGCAAAATTGAATGATCGTTGATGAGGTCGCGTTCTTATGGGAACCTAATGGGTTTTGCAAGTATCCTGCTTCATGCATGCATAAAACGAGTGAAAAGCATGAGTTTCAGCTGAACGATTGGCTCCACTGAAGCAGAAGCCGAGAGCTCTCACGATACGTGAAGGTCACGGAAAAATGTTGCAATTTTCCCACGCCAGAGAAGAATCCGCCTTAACTCTTTCATGCTAACCGCATCGTCTGATGAGGTTTCTTTAAAAAAAAAGAAAAAAAAAGTTCAGTGTGGAGCTTGAGAGGGCGCCTGAGGAAACATGGTTTCCTTTTCATTTCTCGTGAGGACATGCGGCTTCGTATTCGGGATCCACCCTTCGCTTTGATTCCGTAAAAGTCACGGGCTCGTCCTAGTTCTTCTTTATGCATGCCCATAAGGAAGGGAGGGCGCCAAGCAAATTAAGTAATAGCTCGTATTCCAGTTGATGAACACCAATGGCCATTGGTACTCCAGTCTTGCTCCACCCTGGGCGAATTATGGTAATAGGCATGTCATGATGCCAAATGACTAGATTGAGTGTCTTCCTGCATGGTGAAATTCAAAACCTGAGACTTAGAGCAGCTACATTTTTGCATATGAAATTCTGTTCCTAGCTACCAACTATCCAGTTCGCGACACGATTGACAGATGCCAACAGAGACCATCTTCAAAATTTATATCTAATACTGAGCATGAATTTATATGGAGTTTTCCTACTGCATTACAAAAAGCGGGAAAAGACTAGCCACTAATCAAACGACGGTATCTACAGCAACAGAAACACACTATCACTTCTCGATGCAATCCTCTAATCTTATCAGGATTGCAGCTCTCAATCAAAACAACCATGTCCAGAGGCAGTTCAGGCTTTTCAGATCTCTCAAGAGAGGTGTGTGGCGCAGGATTCAGAATTAGGCTGAAGGCAATCGCCTTTGATCGTCGGAGCCTGTTATTATGCCAGTACGTGTAACACGCTTCACGGACTGGATCCTTCGATGCATTGCATCATATTTCTTTCTTTTGCTGAGAACAGTTATTGTCCTCGCATTCACGATGCAAGGACGGCTCGTTGAGATTCGATGATGCTGCAATCATTTGCCGAATAAAGTCTCTGGGCTGATGAAAGTTCCAAATCATTTAGTCGAGGCTGGAATGAGGATAGACCCCGATTCGCTTGCCGACATTAATCAAAGATGGCTCGGATGAGACGGCGCAAACGGTGAGCCGCAGTGAGAGGACAGAATGCGATTGAACCTCTTGCCCCGGTTCTCTTTGACCCCGTAAGGCTATTGTGCCATTGTGGCCACGTCTTCGATAACCTTCGATAAGCGCTTTTCATATTCCTGCCTTGATTTATTGGTAATCCTGTTATTGCCAATGGCAAACTGGCAGTGTTTCACATCGGCCAAGTCGGCTCTCCAGTAATTAAGCGCCATATCAGTTGGAAACTGCACTTGCCTTGGTTATGCCGTGGGAAAGGAATCCCGTCGAGAAGCAGCAACTAGTTTCAACTAGTGCTGCGTGATTCGGGACTCTTGCGCAATCAATGAAATTTCCAGAATTGGGGCTCCTCCAGAACTGAGGTGTTTGGTAGGGAACTGAGGGATGATTGTTTTTCTATCCTTTTTCCTCAATGCATTCTCACTTATAAGTGTAGCCAAAGGTTCTACTTCCCGATTCCGTTCAACGATTAGATCCTCCCTATTCTTATCTACTGGGAGCCTGTAAACTTGATTGCTATACATACTTATAACGGCATGCGACTCCAGACGGCGATTCAATCAGACCCAGACCTCAATCTTGCTTCCGACGATTTTATCGACCGGCAAACAGGACATGATTTATATGCTCGAGGCTGTACGGTCCGCAATTAGAGAGGCGAAACATGCCCGACATCTAGTTGAGAAAGTTTATACTGAGTATTTTAAGTAATAAGCGTCAGATGTCACTAGCTTATGCCCTTCCTAAAACTCGCCCCGAAGGAAGAGAGAAGGAAAAAGGCATTCAAAGCCGCCTAAGACGAGGCAGCTTCCTTAACCCAGTTCCTTTAGGAACCCGCCGAACGTCGTTACGTCGGGGTGTCTCAGGTAATTTTAGTCAGAATTATTTTCATTTGGTCTCTGGGCAGAATTTCTCCTGGCCCATGGCACATGAGAGTGTGAAACAGCCTCGAGAAGATTCTTGACTTCCCCAGTGACATCGTCCACAGGAAGAGGCAAACAAACGTTCTTGAAAAACTCACAAAGGTTCACTCTGAACTAATTAGCACTTTAACTGCTACGGACTCGATCACGGAAGTTTCACGCTCCTTGCAGAAGAGATATTAGAGGTTTTCCGGGACAACTGGAACCAGTCCGAGAACCAGTCCCGTCCTTCACTTACCTAATAAGGTTAGTGAGAACTTTTATTCATTAGTAAGAATTACTGAGTCGAGCAAGTATTACTTTCATGCATCGATTCAAAATCGTGGTGCATTAAACAAAAAATTTAGCACAAGGGCTTAGTGAAGAAAACGAAAGGTGCAGTTGAAAACTGGAAGGGCACTTTAGCTGAGTTGCAAAAAAAAAGTAACCAATAAGTCTGTCGGGAGTTCAGTGATTGTCCAGGAAATAATGTTAATCATTCTCCTATTAATATAGTTGTACCTGGCTTTGCACGACCAGATTTCTTCATTGGGCTTCAAGCTCAATAATTTCTCGGTCATTGATTCTCTCAAGTGACACGCATCCGTCGCTATGGAATACATAATCATAATGAGGCTGATAAAACCCAAATATGTATCTTGCGTGCGACGGCCATCCCGGAAGCCGACGGCGGGAAAGAAAAACACCCAACGGAAGAAAATAAAAAGATTTCGTCGACCTACTTCCTCCTGGGTTGACCGATCCATTCCCACGTGGCCGTATCGCGCAGCCACTTGCTGGCCGGCATTTGTCGGATTCGAAGTATTGACGCTCAGCTAATGCAGTCAACCGCCTTGTGGTTGTGAGAGGACTCCTCCAAGAATTCCTGTTAGAAGCTGATCAGGTGTGTTACAATGTCCTCAGATTAAAAGAAATCCCCTTTGTCGTCCCTGTCACGCGTTACGGACTTGGGGATGTGACTCTCTCGTGAAAACTCTTCCCTCATTTCAACCTCTTCGCTCATTTCTTGGCGTGCTTGGCGGGCCGGGTGAAATCTCTTCGCGGGCCGGATCCGGCCCTCGAGCCGTAGGTTGCCGACCCCTGCCTAAGAGAATCCCGTGACCTCTGGGACTTGAATTCGAACAAAGATACTTCAGATGGAGAAGGAGACAGAACCTTCTTGCATGGCCTTCATTATTTTTTTTTTCAAGCATGAGTAAGTGAACGAGAGAGAGGACGACCAGGTTATCACAAATCATGGAGAGTTCATGACAGGAATTTCGTAGGGATTATTTGGTTGTCTTTCGAAGAAGAGTGTTTTTTTTTTTTTTAAGGTGTTTGAAACACCATTCTTGAATCAGCAAGCCCTAACAGAAAAGGTCGGAAAGATGCCGACGCTTATTTAGCAGAAATAATTGGAGAAAGCTTCAAAAGTGAGGTGTTTACAGGTGAAACGGATCTGACTCTGGAGATACCAATCAGTGCGGAGAATGATCGAGTTTATGGTGGAAATCGAAACGCCGACGCATCGCCGGACCACAAGATATCATGATTTTTAAAGAAGATAAGGGTATCTGTCCGGATACCACGGAATGGAAACACTGAGCTGGTGTTTGTTGACCCTCGGCTTATCAACCTGAATGCATAGACCTACATCGTAATTCTACAGAACAACCTTCCTCCAGAATGCTGCCATATCTATTGCAGGAATGATCACGTGCACTGGTACACCTTAATATCGTGTAAAGG